CCTCTGCTCTCCTCTGCTCTGCTCTCCTCTGCTAGGAAATAAATGTTCCCTGATGAGTCAGCTCACAAAGCTCCTGACTGCAACTTTGGGACACACACACACACACACACACACACAACCGGATGCCCCCCATGTCCTAATTTTGAATGTTCGGAAGAATTTATACATTTAACAACTATACCAGGTACAGCAACAACAACAACAAAAAGCCACACGACTTAAAAAAACACGGGACAACCAGAAAGACAAGAAGTCAAGCCACGGCGAGAGTCTGGAGCATTGACAGAGAAGTGATCACTGTCCCTCTACAATGGAAAATTCACAAGTTCAAAAGTTCAAAGTCTCAACCCTAAAGTAAATAAAATAAGAGACTCTCTTTATTTTCCCCAAAGCCTACAAGCCAGGGCTCATCCCCACAGCGCACAGCTCAGAGGCACAGCCCAGCACATGGAGAGTGCTGACTGCCAAAGCCAAACCAGGCGGCCACGATGCGGGCAGGTGGCTCTCACAGCGAGAGGCTTGGGGCCTAGGGCCAGTGGGTAAGAGCGAGCCCCAGACCAGGGCCGAGTGCAAGCCTGCCTGCTCCTCCTCCTCTCCCCCAAAGGGGGATGATTTAGGCCTTTATGATTCAAAAAGAAAAGGACTCGGTCCGACTGACTTTAAATCATGGACGGCCTCAAGGTGTCTACATTCTTAGCCCAGGCTAAGGGACCCAGAAAGGTAAGCTGCCCAGTGGGGCGGGGGCACTACCCCACCCACCAAGACACACGAACACTCAGGCACTTAAAAGCAACAGATCCTCCCAACAGACAAGCAACAAAATGTACATTCCATCCAAGCACCAGAGCTTTTACACGGTGGGAGCTGGGAGGTCTGGTTACATAAGCGGCCCCAGGAGGCATGACCCCTCCAACCTGGACCAGGAGACCCTCTGGGTAAGAATATCCCAAGTTCGCATGCTTCTATCTGGACAGAGCATCCTTGACAGGCCCAGAGGCCCAGGAGGCATTCCAGCACTGTCACTCAGCACAGGGACAGGGCCCGGCTCTCCCGGGACAGGGGCAGGAGGTTGTGTCTCCCCTACCTGTACACGTCATGCTTGGTGTCAAAGAGCCGGTTCTTCTCACGGATGCGCTCTGGAGGGAGGTAGGCGATGGTTCCAAAGAGCCCGTCCATGCTGAGGTCGTGAGAGTGGGATAGCCCGTTGCACTTGGCAAGCCCGAAGTCAGAAATCTGCAACACAGGCCAAGAGAGAGCCCGTCACACTTGGCCTGCCACTGTCTGGGGCAGGGCACCGGGCCCCACATGTGGCCAGCCAGTTAGTTGTCCCTGGGTTGACCCTGACTCATGGCGACCCTACATGTTACGGAGCAGAACTGGGCGCCACAGGGTTTCAATGGGTGATTTCCATTTTTCTTTCTCTTTTTTTGGAAGCAGAACACCAGGCCTTTCTTCCAAGGTGCCTCTGCATGCGCTTGAACCTCCAACTTTCCAGGTAGCAGCTCAAAGCTAGCATTTGCCCCACCAGGGACTCCTGATACGTTACTACAGTGTTTCTGCTCTGCAGGGCCATCTTGGTCCCTGGATACACACACAATCCAGAACCAGGGCTCCCCCCAGAGAAAAAGCAGCTCCAGGGGAGCCTCCCAGGGTTCTGACAGACCCTGGTCTAGGACTGTCCCTGTGTCCCCAGAAATGATGTCAGACATCACCAGAGCAACCTACAGTTGATGGGGGCAAAGACCCGGCTTGAAAGGAGACTTCACCGGGAGAAAGAAGCCTAGAACAGTTAACAACCAGACTCAGGGAAGCTATGGGGCTAGCTGATGTCTGGCAGGATAAACAAAACCAAACAAGACAGAGCACCCCTTGACCTTCACATTGACTCCCACTCCTGGCGCCCATGTGTTACCGAGCGCAGAGCTCCACAGGCCCTTCACTGTCTTCTCTCTTCCAAGGAGGAGCTCCGTGGCCCAGTGGCTATAAGTTGGGCTGCTAACTGCAGTTTGAAGCCACCAGCCGCTCCTTGGGAGCAAGTCGGGGCTGTCTACTCCCATAAAGGGTTACAGGCTCAGAGCCCACAGGGGCAGTCCTGCCCTGTCCCACAGAGTCTGTGTGAGTCAGACCCGACTCCCCGCCAGTGTTTACGTACTGAGCTACTGTAAATGGAGGCGGGGCACCGCGGGTTAGGAGCTGAGCTGCTAAAGGCAAGGTCAGTGATTCAAACTCACCAACTGCACCCCTGGGCGAAGATGAGGCTGTCTGTTCCTATCAACGTTCACAGTCCCAGAAACCCTGTACAGGGTCTGAGTCAAAAACCAATGCAATGGTAGCGGGCTGTAGGGTCGGTTCAATCACAGACTACTTCAACTCCGCAGAAGAAACCCTGCTTTGGATCTCTCTGGGTCAGCCTATTCTAGACATCGCATGTGCAACCACAGAGTACGGGCCATGGCTATAATCTTTACAGAAGGAGACCAACGGCCCGGTGTGTTTGAAGCACCAGCCCTTAGGTCAGCAGTCCATCTCTCCAGGGGCAATTGCCTGGGTGCACGGGGGTGTTAGGCTGCAGACGGGGTCGGCCAGAGTGGATGTGTGGAGAGCAGGGCCTGCGTACCAGGAGATCGGGTTATGCAATCGCGCGTGGGCAGGCTGGGCATGTGGCTGCAGGTTGTTTTTTTTAAAGGGAAGCACACCTTCAGAGCCCTTTAAAGCAAACAAAACCCAAACCACACGGCCACGCTGAGCCTTCTGTCCTCTACCCTGTTGGAATACTAGCACCGGGTGACACGCCCATGGGCCCCTTGCGTGCTGGGCGGTCAGGTAAAGAGTTTGGAAGGGCACTGGCACTCACAGCCCTTCCTGTCTGTGAGGGGGGATCTAGGGGAACCAGCGGCACTCCCTCCCAGCCCTCCCCCCACCCCCTGCCCTCCTGTGTAAACCAGGCTCCTTTGAAGTCCTAAGCGTTGTGTGTGGGATTAAGCCACAACTCATTAACATTAATGGGAACCAGGATCCTCCTCGGGAAAATGGCCCCTTTAAGTTCTCTTTCAAGGCTTAGGGATTTTTTTTAGCCTTTTAATTAACTCCAGGCTCTTCCTCAAACACGCCCACTGAGTGATAGGAACAGGGCTGAGTCAGAGTTTGAGGGCCCCCCCAGGGCCGGGCCAGGTGAGCTGATGGGCCCCGCCGCTGTCACCACCAGCTGAACCTCGGGATTTACAACCGCTGACTTGGGGTTTTCAGGGAGCCCTGACCATGTCTGCAGGGAAGAGACACAGATGGGAGGAAGCTGCCGAGACAGTCCCTCGCTTTCCGTTGTCGGCTAGTACCCAAGCCTCAGTGGCACTCGGAAGACTCCTCCCCTCTCTTGTACAGAAATTGTTTACTTGCCGGAAAAGCACCACCCCCAAACTCACTGCCACTGAGTCAACGCTGACTCCCGGGAACCCTATATAAGGCAGGGTGGTACAGCCCCGTGCGTTTGTTTCTGAGATCGTAACTCTTGACAGGCGTGGAAAGCCTCATCTGTGTCCTGAGGATGGGCTGGCGGTGTCGAACCGCAGACGTCTCGGCTAGCAGCCCGGTGCATACCCGCTACACCAGCCCACCGGGCCTCTGCAACTCTGCAAAGCGGCCAGAAGCTGAGAACTGACGTGTGCTACCTCTCAGAAGTCCCCAGCTGCACACACTCTCACAGCAGTCAGCGGGCGGGCCCCTGGACTTCTAAACCAGGGGCCCATGAGGGCTATGCTTCCCCACAGAGAGGGGCTTTTCATCCAGGTGAGGCACGTCCCTCGGGCATCCCTCCGCATACCATCCATTCTGGACAAGCCAGTGTATTTCAGGGCAGCCTGTGACATCATACCAACTCTTTTTATTTTTCACGTGAACTGTGTGCACACACTTAACGCTGCCGGCTGCACAAACACTTCCAACTTGGCAAAGCAGTAGTTGCCGAGGCAAAGGTCCCCTCTCTCCCCAGTTAGTACAGGTACCAGCAGCCAGCAAGTTGATGCCCACTCATGGGACCGCTGCATGAGTCAGAGCAGAATCGAAGCCCCAGGGCAGCCAGGGGCTGATTTTCTCAGAGGCAAATCACCAAGTCTTTCTTCTGAGGAGCCTCGGGGTGGACCTGAGCCACTAAACTTTCAGTTAGCACCCTAGCTCGGGGCATTCACGGGCCACGGGCAGAGCATTACCTATCCGAAAGGGTCGGAGATGAGGGGCACAGGGCCAGGGGTTGGAAGGACAACCCCTGGTCTTATTTCAAACATAACTCCTGAATGCTGATCGATGGCCCACACACAGCCCGCTTTTTAAGCCAGGTCTCTTGGGGAACAAGAGAGCTGACACGCAGAGCCTCACACCCGCACTCTGCTGCCCTGCACATACCTGACTAGCTATTTCTAAGGATAAAAGAAACATGTTATGGAAACACCTGTGTCTGTCTGTGGTGAGGCTTCGTGACGGTGACTAATGTGCGTGATCCAGGAGGGAGTGACATGAAGCACCCACCCTTCAGGCACTCTGGGACCGGGCCCTGAGCAAGAAGGGGCAGTGTGGGCCACAGCATCTCCTCACTTCCCAGCCAGTCCTTTCCAGACAACGGTCCTCGAAAAGCCTACAGCCCATTCCCCTCTGCTGTTTCTGATGGCAGGGAGGATGTTTACGAGGGGGCAGGGAGAGAAGGCATTCATGCTAAAAGACTTCCAGGTACCTAAAAGGAAAGGCACCCTCCGGTTTCTCCGAGGGGAACAGCACTCATTCACTTAGCACAGTGAAAAAGGATGAATAGAGTGTGTCAGGCTTGGAAACCCACAGGGGCAGCTCTCCCCTGTCCTGGAGGGTCACGAAGGTCGAGTGTAGGGCACTGGTAGGGCCTGGTGGTGTGGGGGTGATGCGCTGATAACTGCGTGTACCACCACCTCTCTGCTCCCATCAAAACAGGCAAAGGTAGCGTGTGCAGTCAGGCGGCAGCGGCGCCTCTTGCCCACCACGTAAAAGGTTTGATTTCCAGCCGTTGCACCTCATGCACAGACATCAGCGCCTGTCCGTGGCAGCTGATGTGTTGCTATGGTACCGAAGAGGTTTCAGCACAGCATCTAGACAAAGGTGGACGAGGAAGAAAGGCCTGGCAATCTAACATCTACAAATCAGCCAGTGTGGGCCCTATGAATCAGAATGGCTCGCCTACCACGTACCGCAGGGATGGCGAGGCAGCACCAGGCAGGGTCTCATGCCCTTTGTGTCCGGGGTCAATGGTGGCTAACAGGGACACCACTATCGTCTCGTTAATATCTGTCCTGTCAAACAACTACGTAGGGGCAACTTCTATCCAACAGGAGAAGGGATCTGCCCGGTGCTCTCGGCCTCTCCGTGCAGTGGGGGTGAGTGCCGTCTCTCCCCAGGCCCCACTTTCATTTCACAGACGAGGAAGCAGAAGCCAGCTCAGCAGAAAGACGGGCAGGGCTGGACCTTGGACCTAGGTCAGTGGCGCTCCGGCCAGCACACGTCTCTGTCCCTAAGTAACCTGGGACTAGTCATCACCTCCTGTCCTTCCCACTGTGGACAGAGGTTGATGCAACCCAGGCAGCACGGCCCGGCACACGACACCGTGAGTGTCCTGAGAAGTGTGCATGTCACCGCGTGGCACAAAGCCGCTGAGACACCTGCTCCCGCACACCAAGTTCCTTCCAAAGGAGAAATCTACTTATGGAACTACAGCGTCAACACGGGAAAGACAAGGCCGGCCACGGTCAAACTCTGGGTGGCTGGTTCCTGGTGCCCAGCGGGAGGTTACATTCTCTCTCATACGTATCCCTCTAGATAACAGAGACCAAGGTCTCACCAGTCTGATTCCTAACCCTTTGCCATAAACACCCGTGTCCCTGGATGTTGGAACCACTGGTTGAGCGCTTAGCCACTAACTGCAGGGTCAGACGTTGAAGCCTACCCAACGGTGCCTCAGAAGAAAGGCCTGGTGACCAATTTCCATAAAACCAGCCATTGGAAACCCCATGGGGCTCAGCATACTTGGGCTGAGTTGGAAGTGACTCCACCATCGCTGATTTTAAAAAAAGCGAAAACTAAACTCACTGCCCTCCGGTTGATCCTGACTCCCGGTGACCCCACGGGGCAGGGTAGGAGTGCTCCTGTGGGTTTCCCAGACGACAAGTCTTCCCAGGAGCTGAAAGCCCCACCCATCTTGCTCCACAGAGCTGGTAGTATCAAGCTGCTGATCTCGAGTGGGTCAGCAGCCCAACGGGTAACCACCATGCCACTAGGGCTCCCTGACATTCACACCAGAACACCTATCTCTTTCCACAAGATGCCCCAAATTTGGTGATGTGCCAGGATTTGGAGCCATGATCCCTGTTATCAATGGGACCCATTTTCTAACTGTACCCAATTCTTCACGAGCCGAGAATCCAGAGCATCTTTTGCAGAGAAAAGCACAGGCTTAAAATTAAGGTTTCTTCTCCCAAGCAGAGCCCTCCGCATCCCTGGGTGGGGTGAACGGCTGAGACTCAGCTACTAACAGAAAGGTTGGCCATTCTAATTCACCCAGAGGCACCTTGGGCGAAAGGCCTGGAGATCTACTTTAAAAACAAATTAGCTGCTGAAAGCCTGAGTGAACACAGCTCTAACCTGACACTCCGAGGTTGGCGGGAGTTGGAGCAGATTTCAGGTCAACTGATTTTTAAACCGAAAGGATGGTTCCATTTCTAAGCAGCCCTGCCCTGGGCTCTGACCACACCCAGGACCCAGTGTCCCCCCACCCCAGCCCCTACCTTGACGTGGTAGTGGGCATCCAGCAGGATGTTGGCCGGCTTGAGGTCCAGGTGGAGGAGGGGTGGGGACATGCAGTGCAGGAAGTTCATGCCCACCGCGGTCTCATGCGTGATGCGGACACGCAGCTCCCAGGGCAGCGGCTGGGTGGCCAGCAGCTTCTCCAGCGAGCCTGTCTCCATATACTCCATGACCAGGCCCACGGGCTCCCGACATATGCCGTACACAGGCAACACGTACAGAAACTTGGCCATCTCCATCTTCTTGGCTTCCTCCAAGAGTTCGAGGCGCTCCCTGGGAAAGTTCAAAGGCATGAAGTGTGTGTGACAATCACCCCCTACACACACACACACACACACACACACACACACACGCACAGGAAGCACTCCAGCCAGGCAACAAGCAGCTCCAACCAGCTGAGAAGACAATGAAGGCACCCAGGGCCACATCCTGTGACCCGGGCCTTCCCCAGGTCCATGGTCCTAAGGCTATTCAAATACACCCGTGTAGCATGAGGTCACTACCAAGGAGGAGAGAAATCCTAATTGTTCTCGTTATCCAAACCCTGATGGTGTGCAGCTGCTGAAGTGGCAGGTCAATGTCAATGATCCCTCCTCTCACTCAGGGAGAGTCCAACTAAATATGCTAACTAATTGTCCATCCCTGAGCCTATCCACTCTGCCTCTGTTTGAAGTCGAGCCCATGGCATGCCTGATCACCCCTGCCTTCAACCTAACACTCAGACGCACGGAGTAACCAGAGTCCACAGCTGACGTCGGAGGGCCAACGCCAGCCTGCCACCTGTCTTTCTCAATACAGTGTTATTGGAACACAGCCACGCCGCTCATCGGTGTGCCGCCTGTCTGTGTCTGTCTGACACACCATGGCACCAGAGAGGAGAGGCTGTGTTTGGGTGAAGGACTTACCTTCTGGCCCTCCCCAGAAAGCGTTTGTTTTCCAAGCCCTGGCCTAAGTTCTCCATCTCCAATTCAACTTGAGTGAACACAGACCCAAACCCCAGGGCAATATCTGAGTCAGCTTTGCAGCCCAGAAGTCTCAGCGGCACTCTGTCAGGGTAAAAAGGCAGAGCCCTAGCCCCCGCTCTGAGAACTGGGCTCTGGTGCTCAGGGCTGCGGCTGGGGCTGGGTCACCACCATTCTGATCAGCTCCTCTGAAGGACGCAGCCTGCAGAGCACAGCACACAGCAGCAGGCGGTGAGGAGCATGTGCGGGGCCATGCGGAGAGGCCTGGGAGCACAAGGCTTTGTCCATCACCCAAGATACAGCTTGGGTCCCAATTCCCGAGCCTGCTGCGGAATCTGGACCGTTTGTTATTGTTTTAAACCACCGACACCCTCACCTTAGCCTAGAGAATGCTACCTGGCTGCCCTTAAAGTTTTGAGAAACTGTCCCCTGGGAGGA